CAATGCGCGGCCGTAAGGTGCAGTCAAGGTGTGGAGAGGTTGATATTGCCACCGGTTGTCTTTACTCCTGGCGGCGTCGGGTCTACGATGACTACTGGAGTGATGAACAAGGGCGAGGAGTGACAAGAAAGCGCAACCACATTGGGGAACTGTGTGGGCGACTCTCTCAGCGATGTTGGTATGCCGGGCAGCGACGGATGGGTTCGAGGCGATTCCGCAGTGATGGATGTGTGGGTATTCGACAAGACCAGTCTGGGCTGTGAACGTGCATTTACAGCGCGGTTAGCACATCTACTGTAGCTTTCGATCTGATGCACCTCTCATTGTCTAACTTCCGTCACAACAGACGACTTCATACACCGAGATTTCAGACAGAAGCGGTGTGCTCGGCGCCCACGCTATTCTGAAGCAGGTGCGCCCGCAACAAGAGGGGCGTCGTGAGGATGGCTAATGGTCATCTGCATAAACGAATTTTCTACGCCTGGGAGTCAGGGATGTTCGCAGCCGAGGTGAACAAAGGTGCAGATAAGCAGGCACCACGGGAACGACTTTCAAGCGTTTGCAAACTAAACTAGCAGCTGATCAGAAGAAGAGACGATCGCTGGAACAATGGCTTTATTCGCCTGATGTTTCGGATTTCCTCTTGAATCCATCATCAGAGACAGTTGCAGAAACTGTCTCTGCAACTGTCTCTGATGATGGATTCAAGAGAGAATCCGAAACATCAGGCGAATAAAGCCATTGTTCCAGCGATCGCTTCTTCTTCTGATCAACTAGTTCCTGGAACTCGCATCTTCGCTTGTATCGGTAAACTAGCAGCCTTGAACAGGTTCGATAGACCCAACGTAAAAGTTGAGCCGCTATGAAATATCGGAGGCCAAGCCGAAGCAAGAGACACGCAAGACAGCTTACCCCGTCAACAAGTTCACATTGCCCATCTATGCTCAGGGCACGCATTCACCTTCACAGGCACTATCGGATCCACTAGGATGTCAGTAGGACCACCACAGAACGCCATCACCGCGTAAGTTATAAAAAAGACGCTTCTCTTATCTGCCCCCACTATAACATCCCATTGCGGTCCAGACGTGCCTTAAGAGGCAACAGATTCCGTGGTAGCAGAGTCCTGTTCCATCTCCACCTTTAATTTTTGCATTCAGGGGTTCCGCCGTAAACACTGACTAAAAGAACTGGGACCGAAGTTTTGCTTTCTGCGACCCGTGAGATAATACCTTTCCTGCACTATCCTTAAGGCACGCAAGTTCGTCCTTTTTTCTTCGACTGCAAATGTTCCAATGTGTACCTCAAGGCGTGCAACGGCCTCTGCTGTCAACCGCCGCTCAAATGAAGAACTATAAATCCGTATTTGCTCGCGGCGTTTATTGCGCTGCTTCATACATTCACTAAGTGATATGGAATCACAGCCTTTGTTCCATTTCATGTTCCTTCTAATTGTCTCTGATCCACGGGACCGGAGAACAGGGTCTCATTGTTTTCATAGTGCGGTGAGGCCCGATTAGATGCTCTAAAATCCCACCTGGAGTCATTAATTGGAGTTTTTCCTTGCGCCAATGCCGACTAACCACGTATCCTCCGAAGTAGTACGCCTCGATTCGTCGAACTCGCCTTCCCCCATACCTTATAGCTTCCATTTTTTCTAAAGACGATGTTAGGGTGGTTGGAACATTGCCATTCTCTCAGACTCGTTCCGAAATCTATGCGTTGGATGAGACATGTGTTCAGAGGAAACTACTAGTTTGTAGCCCAGCGACGCTGAGGGTTCGTCACCCAGAAACAATATGTTCTCCCTCGTGCATACCCATTTTAGGTTGCCATCTCAGACCACCTCAATGTGCATCTACTCCTTCGCTTGCTCCTGTGGAGCAGGTTATTGTGTTCGCACGAGTCGGCGCCTGTCCCAAAGAACGCCTCCCGGAATGGCTGGAAAAAGGCGGAGTTAGGAGTATAAGCAGTTCCAATTTCGCACATTTTATTGGCTTCGGGCTTCGTGTGGACCCCAGCCAAGCTTTTCGTGTGTTTTATAAAGTCACATCGGGCTACCCCAAGCTACTGGGCCAGCGCCTGTTAGCAACAACAGAAGTGGCCGCTATTAGGTTACGAAAGCCGGTCTTGTACATATCCCAAAACAGGGCCCTCTTTGAACGTGTGCACGATAGAGCCCTGGGGTTCACTGAGAGCTGTGATAAAGAGGTGATCATGAGGCTAGTTGGCGAGCATGTGTTCACATTCGATAAATTCTCGTCAGGCCAGTGCATTCACATGGCAGCAGCGTCAAGTAAAACATGTCATTTATTTGTGAAATCGACTAAGGCCGGTTTTGTACACACAGAACATCGTTCAGGCTCTGCACTTACCGTGATCAGAGGTTGATTACCTACATGCAACTCTCCACACCCTTGCGTTTTGACCCCGTCCCTGGCGTTGGCTCTTATTACAGCCCCTCCCCCCCACCCCCAAATTCCCACACCCTGCCTGTGTTTTGAGAGGAGCTTTGATGGAATCTTTTAATCATCGAGCCATCATCGCTTCAATTACGACCCCCCTGCGGTGATCGCGAGAGCTGTTAATTATAGTACCAACGTGACACCTCGGCAACTACGTACTATAGATACTGCAGTCTTTGTGCTCCCACTACCTTTATCTGCAACTGTCTCTAAGGCTGGGTTCGAGTGAAAATCCGAAACGTCAAACCAATAAACTTCTTCTCCCAGCGATTGCATCTTCTTCTTCTTTTGAACTGCTTCCTGGAACACGCCTGTTCGCTTCTGCTGGCAATTGTCGACATGTTTTACTTGATCCCCTTCTGATATAAATGTACTGACCTGACGAGAGGTTATTAATTCCATGTCAAAGCTTTCATTCAAGCAAGTTTGGTGGACGACGCATAGGTTGAAAGTCACGTATCGTTTGAATTCGGTTTAAAATCAAACGCCTCCCGGTCTTTTGATTTTCAGTCAAGGATTTCATTGAGATCCCCGCTTTTTACATACGGGCTTGACTGTCGCTCACACGGCGGGCTGGCATCTCCTTTGCAGGGCTCCATGGGGAGCTTTCCTTGGCTTTTTGCTTGCCACTTGGCAGCCGCCCACCGCTGGTTGGTGTGCAGGACACCGGTTTCGGTAGATTCTGGTTTTGCGAACCGTATACAGGTAAATGTTGTCGCACCAGTTTGGGCTTGGTCGTACCTCACCAAGCCTGGGTTTCGACCTAGCAACCTCGTTTCCTCTCTTTTTTTGTTTTCGCATAATGTTGTGGTCAGTGATGTCCTCATCCTACTTCCAGTGTGCATGTTCTGAATGTTCAAGGGTTTAGTTTTGCCATGCAAGCAAAAAGGGCTCAGGCAAAGGTTTTTCGTGGACACTGTGAACTTTTTCTTCCCTGCCCGCTATAATCCGGTGGGATACTTAAAAAAACATTCTCGTCAGAAAATTAGCGACGCTCTTCGCTTTCGAAATTCCAGATCGTAAGCTTTTACAGGTTTGTGCCACGGAACAGCCCAATATCTCTATTAGATATGTTTTTGGCAGTTCTTAGCCATAAAAGAGTATCCTAAGGATGACCGCGAAATAGTGGGCCAGGCCCCTTCAGAAATGATTGGAATATGCGCTTCGGACTGTATTTGAGCTGTTTATATGCAATTTATTTATAATCTAGAATCAGAACTGAAACCGAGTGGTTTGGCTGATAGATATTTTGGCATCAATATGGCCACTGTACAGCGTGTTTAAGCGTCGAATTAAGTAAAATGACCACCTAAATAAACAAGACAACCTTTTTCGTATGATGCACAGAACAATGAGTGAGTGGCAGATGTTGTGCCCTTTCTATGTGACTAGCCATCAGGAGCAGATGATGGGCATCGGGCTTTGTAGGTGAAATACCATAGCAAATGCCTTTGAAGGATAGCATACATGATAGGTGATGGGGACCAACCTTTAGATCAGCCTACAAATACGGTTCAAATAGCGGAAATGCCTTCACCCAAGGACTAAGTAAATTCGGAAATTCCCAAAAGACTTGCTTGGATAGCTACAACATATAAACAGTGTATTTTCTTGCGAATAGCAGAAGGCAAGAAAGGCAATAACGTCCACTGACAGTGTAAGAAGGACCTCAGATGCGACAGCCCATACCATCGTCCAAACTAAGGCATAAGTGTTGGAAAAACAGGTCCCCCTCAGAGACAAAATACAACATGTTCATATTTTGCGTTTTCTATTTATATACGGCCGAATTTTCTGGTCGATAACCTCCCTCTGGACATCGGACCCAACAGTAAATTATTCCGGCTACCTTCATAATCGTGAAATCAAACAAAATCCTGTTCGTCATGGTCATCCGTTCTAAGTACCCAGACCAATTAACAACGCGGAAGGGAGCTGTAGGGGCGTAATTCGTTTGGCCTATGAGCACCATGTCAGTTTGCGTGAAACTTAGAGTGAGGAAAGAATTTTGCGTTATTGGACGGAAGTCAGGCAACACTGTGTCGAGCATGCGTGTCCACACACCTCCTGCCACTTAGTGTACTTAAGTGGCAATTTTGAGTTGCGACGTTAGCCGTAGTCCATTCGTCATATCTGTAGAAGTTCGTGGTCCGAAGCCACCAGGATACAGTCGTACGTGTGTGCAGGAAATCTCACTTTAAGTCATAGGCGACTTTCTCCTGTGAACTAAGTGAAATTGGGTAGTTAAAGATAGTCACCGCGAACAAGGTTTACGTGATGACGCATTTCTTGCTCCACCTGGTCATCCAGAAGAGCAACAGCTCACGCTAAAAAAAAACTGTCCACTACATCGCGCGCAGTATGGGCGTTAGACATTCAGGCGACAGGCGTGTTGTTGAAAAACGCTGCAGTGTTTAACCCCGGCTCCAGTCCACCTTCTCAGTCAGCCGAGAATTCGTTGACATGCACACTTTGTCAAAAGTAAAAAATTAATTAAAAATTGTATTTTTTGACAAAAAAAAAACGCGTAAACATCTATCCTTGATCCAGAGCCACAGCAGCTTCAGCTCTCACGGAGCCCCATGGTCCACATCTAACGTATTCCCCGAGTCTAGCGAGCGTCTCGTCGTCTATCTCCCTCCATTGTGGGCACGTCCCACACCACTTCTCTTGAGTGTTGTAGGCCTGACTAATGATGGCAAATTTCACTGGTAGTAGACTGCTACCCTCCGAGGCCAAACTGTTCTCCGTACTTCGGTTGAGCAAGTATTCAATGAAGCCAGGTTGGTCCATGAGAAGGGTGACTCCCCAAGGCTAAACGAGGTGCGACAAGGGCAGTGTACGGAGATTATTTAAACCCTGGAAAAAGGTACCGAAATCGAAACACGGTTGTGAACTCACTTCCGTCATGATGGCCTCAAGAAGAAGGAGTGCTGCTTGTCTAACATCGTAGAAGGGCTGTCTTGCAAGTGTCCAAATTCTCTCAAAAATTTTGAGTGCATCATTTTTGAAGACTTCCGGTGCCGGAGAGCCCGAAATTCGGCTGAGCCAGAGCCACGTCATTTGCGCCAGAGGTGCGGCCCCGTCAACCGGCATCGAACGGGGAAGGCGCAGTACATCCGCCATGACGTTAAGAACACGAGTAAGCAGCTCTGATGGGGAGTTCTGCAGCAAGCGACCCAGAGTGGGTAGGACGTGGGAGAGAGCTCCTGCTTCAGCTGCCCTGTAAATGGAAGAGGCGAAGACAAAAACCTACCTAGATGGCCCGCAATGGCCAGCTTCCCTTCTGGACTTCTGCACAGGAATCCGACTGTCTCCAGAGCCGTAAGGAAGATTGTCGAAGAGATGTCTCGAGTGCATGCCCCGATGCATGAGGTGAACGGCGTTGGACTGTCGGCAGGGCCAAGATACTTCACAGGTTCAAATGCAGCGACTTCCCCAAGGAAGCTGAGGAACCCTAAGGTTAAACAAGTAATGAAGGTAGTACCAGAAAAAGGATAGTGTAGTGCTCCCATGCGTACTAACCGAAGTTCCTACTACTCCACGAACCTCAGAGGAATACGGCATTCATAAGGACTTGGGTACACTGGTATGCAAGATGCGAGCGTGCACGGCCCTCTTCACCCTAACGGACATGAAGGCCGATTTTAAACGGTTTAAGGGAGATTATAGTCGGTCCGCTTTGCTTCGACGCATATAACAAGTAAACTTGTGGGGTTGCGGAAACTGTGGATTATGGGTATGGATGGGTGGAAGGAAACGTTAGTTTCTTTCGTTGAATTGTCTGGCATTCATAGTCTTATTCCACACCCCAGGTGGCCTCGTAGTAGACGATTTATTACAAGCTTGCGCAATACATAAGACGTTAAGGCTGACCGAATGCTCTTACAAGCTTATTGCCGTAAGACAGGCATCGACCGATATCGTGCTAGCGCGTTACTTTGTAATCGCTTCCAAAGTACTTGCTCATGCCTGTAACTGATACGGCTGCTACAGGGCTCGTTCAAGTCGACCTGAAGGACGCCGCGTAGGGAACTACTTATTGCACGACGGCCATCTGGGGAGATGGACTAGCCCCTTTTTCCCAATGACAGCGACTGAATACCCAGGGTTCATGAACGCGTTCTACCTCTTCATCGATAGTGCCGAATCAGGCTTCTAGCTTACCTCCTTTTCGTCGCCTCCGATGAGATCGTGGCAGTTGCAGCAAGCAGATCAAGTGAGTAACTGAAAACGCGTCAAAACCACCACAACAGTCCTTCTTGGGTAGACAAATATATCCTCGTAATGTTGGTACAGCGAATGCTTGCACTTTGAGGATCTCTTTTCGGTAACGATGGTTTCGCTCCTCATATGTCCGTACAGACCAACATCCATAAGTACAGAGAACCTTCAAGGCGGATGCGCACCATACGTGGACTGTTCATAGGGACTAAAGTACTAATCTTAAGCAGACGACCACTAATCCCGAAGACAGCGAGGCGGTTGGTTAGTATTCTAATTTTTGCAGCTTTTGAGGGTAAATCTGTCGAAATAGCGGGCTCGTTTATCGAAACACAACACTTCAGCTTCCTAATTTCCCAAGAAATTGATCGTTAACTTGAAGTAGATTCGTTTATTTGAGACTTGTGGGCTCAGGCTCAAATTTGATATGAATATTTCGGTCGAAGTCTATCAGCCACAGCGGAGCAAACGTGATTACTTTCTGAGGAAATTAAAAAGCCGCAATTTCAAAACTGGAGTACCTACGAGAAAAGCACACGGAGAGCGCTGGTGGACCCACTGATTTGCCCGTTCCGAAGATGATTGGTTATTGGCAAGACTTCGTAGAACAACTGAGATGCTGCCTAGATTTTTTCTATTGTGCAGGGTTTTTCGCGTACTACATCCAGGTCCTAGGCGCCTTAATGGCAATATCGTTGATGGCCGACGGAAAGTCGGCCCACTATCCCCGCGTCTTGAGAGTGCTATTCAGCGGGAGATGAGGGAAGTCGATTAGTGATACGACACAAAGCATGAGTAGGCGCGCATTCAGTCGACCCAAAAGGGAACACGTCTGCAAAACCATCTCTTCGAAACCCGGCGGCGAGAGATGGCGCAGGTGACCGACACGGCGAAAACCCGCACCTAGGCGTGCCACGAAGCCGGATGGAAATCCACTGAGTGGAAGTGCCATCGAGGCTTCACCAAGAAGGCATTTCAACCTGACTCATTCAATCGATCGGCCGCTCCACACAAATGCACACTGGGCTGACTGCGATGTATGTGTTATCTCGTCAGTTGGCAGCCTTTCAAGCCACGGCTCTTAGCGCACCGTGATAGACTCGGGCGCGTCAGATTGTCCGTGGTAAGGAATATGCGCTGAGATTTTCGACTTCATTCTCTCTCCCCACTTCCAGGCACCAGTCCACTGCCCGCGCTAGTGAGCTGTCTGACGCGGGGAGCGCATTGGCTAACAGGGTTGAGAAGTCCTTCGCGAGCGCCAAATACACGACCAGGCCCCCAAACGCACGCACAGGATTACACACACACAAGGGCGAAACCGCTGGTATCTCACATGCGTGAATGCCGTTAAGAGGGAGGAGTCCCAGTCTGACTCCACCAGTTGCCAGCTCAAACGTACACTGGGTTGACTGCGTGATCTGAGTTGAATCGGCAGTTAGCAATCTCCAGTCATGACTGGGCTCGCGTTTGGACGTCAATGGCGCGTTGGCTGTCATCAGCAACGTTTGTTGTTTTGGCCGCTCTCTTATACTTTTCATCAACATGTTTTACATTTCTCTTGAGGCTACATTGAGAACACTGATTAAGGCTCCAACGCTTTGCTAGGAATTTCCATTTTCCGCGTATACTGTAGCCCACTATGGCTCACGGAATACTCAAAGCAGGGAAGGATAGTTCCTGCACACTGATTTAAGAAACCTGTTTAAAAATCAGATCCCAAAGTACATAGGCGTTGCGTAAATATCCACACCCCCCCCTGCAAAACCAGCTAAGCGTGGCGGTATGGGATGCTAGAATACTGATTTTTTTCATTGTATTCTGTCTTCCTGCCCAGCATTGTTTCCGTGATAACCAGGACTGCCAGATATCTCCGAAGACTTTTGCAATGATTATATGTCACCAAAACACTAGAATATCAGATGTTGTCCTAATAATCGCATCTACAGATGTCAAACTGACGCTAAAAGTTTGTCAACTCAATCTGACCATCAGGTAAGTTAAATGCCCATCTGCTGAATTCGTCTGCCCACAACTTCAACTTCAGCAATCAACCGACCCAGCGTGTTGAAGACCTGCAAGCTCCAGAAAAAAGCGTCACTGTGGTGGCTCGGTGGTACCGACAGAGCAATGCTACCCACCCCGTTGTCTTGGACGTCATCGGATGCGCGCGTCTTCAAAACAGATACTGGCTCGATGACAGAGACGCAGATATCAGCAGCATGTTCGCGAACAGGAGCGGGCTGCACAAAGTCTACATCGACTGCTGGACCGACACAAACAAGGCAGTCGCAGCCTTGCTCAGCAACAACTGCGGGAGATGCAGGACGTCTGGTGGGGTAAGTGTAAGAATGCGAACGATACCTGACAGCTTCGGACGTTGTTTCACAAATTCAAATAAAAGCCCGTGCAAAATGGACTGTCACACAAGACTACTTGCCAGCTGAATAGTGCCACCAAATGCAAGCAGCCTTGGTGAAATGAACAAAAGCAATTAAGTAAGTGGTGTTCCGAATAGAGTCGCATTGCGCGCCTAACTTGGCACAAGCAAAAAGTTTGACCAATTTTCGACGCACTTTTCCCGAGTATATCTGTAAGCGCACTTAAGTTGTACGACCGTCTCAGAAGTCAACGAGCATAACCCGCATGAAAAATGTCAAGGGAGGTCTGCAAATTTCTAGCGGCTAAACAACAAAGCAAACGTGATACACGCGAATCCAATTGTTTATACGGTTATCAGTGCTTGCCAGCTTATCAAGTGACTCCAACAGCTAAAACCGAAATTTTTAAACAAGGTTTTATAAATCGAAAAAAGATGCAAGAGATTAAACACTAAATTTACCCGGCATAAGGAGATTGGCAAACGGATTGGCTTCGGGAGACACAAGACTGGAAAGTATGTCATCCACTATCCCTTTAGAATGTAGGAAATCTCTGCCCTCCGGAAAAGCAGCCAACGTTTTTAAAACGGCGATGCAATTTAGTTGAAGCAGTGGGTCATCCTTCCTGAAGACGGATAGAAGCGGTTCAAGGCATCTGGCTTCCTCAAGTATGCCTAAACTGGTCGGGTCTAAAGAGGCGATGTCCACTAGAAGCTACGAAGATAGACACAAAGCAAAACTAACCTCGGAAAACCGGACAACTTGGCCGACGTTGGCGGAGTCTGTAAGGCGTTCACGAAAAACGTCCATCGCGAGAAGTTTCTTCAAACAATGTGAACTGGATAAGGCTGTAGAGATTATAGGCAAGGAAAAAGGGTACCGAAAGTCCTTAAGAATTTCACTGCGGCCGAGGCGTTCTTAATGTCATGGTTTGAGGCCACTTTTACAATTTCCACAAGTATCCTGTCGGGAATATCTGTAGTAGAGTGTGAAGCGCCTTCTACACTGTCTGCTAACTAAGGCATTCACAATCGAGCCTTATCGTACCCTTAGAATGATAAAATCTCTCAGAGCATCGTTCCTTGATGAAATGGCTAGATGTAGCTCGGTCTCGTGTGAGTGAACAAATTCTGACAGATCAAAAGTCGAAAAAATGATCGTGGCTATATTCAAAGCCAGCTCCGACATCTCACTACAAAATATATTTGGTTAAGTCGGCTCGACCTGTTATCAAGGTCCATATAAACGAAAATATCCAGCAAATTATATGCTGAAACGGCCGCTTTTAGCTCATCACCAGGCAAATTTTTTAAAAGGATGTATAATTTTTCATAGTCCTGTATGGTTCCAGCTTGTTGTGACACTTTCTCTAATATATCTACGACGGCGCTGGGAACCTGGGCCATCTGGAAATGCAGAGCGTCCAATCGGACTTATTTTAGCTTTACCGCTGTCATTTCAGCTAGCTAAAACATTGACAAATTTTTATGTTTTTGTGTCCGTTTACACTTACAGTTTTCTGATCCTAATTTTCCATCTTTTAAATAATTTTGCTGTCTTTGGGTGGTTTCTTCAGGGATATTTCACGTCAACAGTTTCGCGAACAATCTATACCTGTCCTTGAATACCGATAATCATGCTCAATCTGGACGCTGGACAGAATGTTGTCTTAGCAGATTTCGGCAACCTTGAGTACACTGAATTGTTCGAATAGAATGTGTATCTTCATATAACGGTCAACTCGAAGACATCTGTTTGAACGCATATGACGCGAACTGTCACCCAAAACCAATGAAATCAAACTGCAGCCAAAATGGATGAGTTTGTTTCAGGTTTTTTTCCTGTGTTCCAAGGAGAATAACAGTGCCCAACAGATGCTCCAATAAACCAGTTTTGTTCTTTTTTATTTTATGTGGACATGCGGCTGCATTAATTTCAGTGTGTTTTTTATAGTACAACTCCTCCAGTCGCCATACGCTGACCAAGAAAAAGCCCGTATGTCCACCTTGTCACTTATTCATCGGCATTGATTATATCTTAAAATCGAATACCTGTCTTCTCGCACGAAATTCTCCGTCAGTGGACAGTAAAATTAATGTCGACCTAGCGCTTTGATAAGTTTTGCCCGGACACACCAGGGGAAATTTTACCGCTTGAATCTCCCAACCCCCAGAGAAGAAGTAAGCAAACATTTGGGAGGCAGGAAGACCATAATCAATACCTACAAGAGACTCAGACGCTACCATCCAGTCCAGAAAAGAATGGCTGCCATTGAATCGATTGTTCTCAGTCTCTATTCTTTTCCGTGGAGTTGAGAGTGCACTAAACTGAATGCATGGGAGAGCAGTTGCTAGCTATCAGCTAATCAAATTGTATCTGATGTTGCGAGCTGCAGAGTTAGCACCAGTTCTCATGGTACGAGACGAGGCAGGGTTTCAGGGACCACGAACTCCATCACTACTGAAGCTAAATTAGCAGATTCAGCCTCCAAAATTGTGGGGGTTTTTCTAATGAATAGCATTGCAGAATGTTCACATCCCTGCGTAACTTGTTCTAGACTACTTTTGTGTTCACACATAAGAACTGACGATATTTAACGGTATGTGCCAGAGGAAGAAATAAAAAGACCTTACAGTGAATGTTGCCTCCGTGGTGGTAAAGATGGTTCAAAGTAATAAGCGGATTAAATGTAGGACTGTTTAAAAGCTCCAACAGAGAGAATAATTCTTTTCTTAATCGATGAAACCACAAGGGATCAAGGCTTTTAAGCCCGAAATGTTCTTGGTCAGTCGAATTCCGGAGTCCTGTTGTTGAAATTCTCTTGGTAAAAAATGCTCGTCGGATGTTTTTCTTCCGCTCGGCAGCGTGCAGCAGAGTTTAATAAAGAAGAACAGCATTTCTGGCTGGACCCCGCGCACACTTTTTTAAAGTCGCATGGTAATATCGTTAGTTTTAAATTTTCGGAGGATGAACCTGGTCGTTTTGCGTGCTTTGGAGACTATCAGTAATTTTGGAAGTTTAAAATTCACCGATATGCGTGAGCCAGGCACAAACTGCTGCCACTGCCGCCACTGACACCGCCTTGCCTATATGTACCATATTTTTTCAACAAATGGGTCTCCAGTTTTCATTTAAACGTTTCAACAGATTATGAAAGGACCACGGCGTCATCGGGTCCGTTCAAATGGTCCAACGAATCTCTGCAAGAAGGCGTTCCATCGGACGTCTGTACGGACCAACTACTTCTGCACGCAAAACGACCCGTCTCCGCCAATTCGAAGAAGTCACCTAGCCCTAGGGCACAAACACGCCTTCTGACAACCTGGAAGTTTCAAATAAAATCACCTCAAAGTCGATTGGAATTAAAAGGAGAAAACGTTATTTCAGTCATTCTGGCTTCGGAAGGCGGATGGCCAAGATTCTCGACCATTTTCGTAGTCCTCGTCTGCATATGCTCTAGTTGTTGATAATCCTTCTTAAACCACGAACTCCAGGCATGGACGGCATACTGAAAGTGATCAAACCATGGAATGAGCTTCCCGCAGCTGTTGTGATGTCACCATCTAAACAAAGTTTTAAGAAGAATCTGGACATATTTATGTTCCGAAATGGCCAAGAGCGATAAGAAGTCGAGCTCACCCCCCGTAACTCCTTTTCATTTTGTCTCACCATTATGGGCGTGTTCGAACTATTTCACCCCAGAACATCTATCTGTACACCACACATTTTTTTACGTTGCAAATAGGGTACTCAAAGGCTTACGCCTATTTCCCTCAATAAACTGAACTGAACTGAACTGAGACTGAAAGAACACCATGTAGGTTTTTCCTAACAGCTCCTCATCAACATGCACGTGTATACAGATCAACGCAAATAATAGCTCCGTTATGCATTTGGCTAACTTTTGACATGGTGGCGATTGTTTAGGCGAAGAAGTCATTGTAACGCAAGGGTCTTTCTGTTCATCAACATTTGAAGGGGCACTTTCATCAACGAGGTCTCGGAAGAGATCATCCTACTCAATGGTCCTTCTGTTACAGGACCATTGGACCAAACACTTGCCACTGTTAAAATTCAAGAAGCAACGATTAGACCTGCTGTTTAGTCGGTCCAGTCCCTCATGAAGTGCACGCTTGTCTGCATCAGATTTTCATAGCTTTCCGCATTTTAACACCGTCAGCAAATATGATGGCGCTGACACTCAGGTCGTTCACACAGTCATCGATATAGACTAATAAGGTTGGTATCCAGGGACTGAGTCTTCGGGATCACCACTTAAAATATGATTTGCGGTGAGTTCGAGCCCCCTACACATACGGTTTGCGGTCTCCTGTAAGAAACTCTGTGATCTATGTATATGTATATTGAAGGGTTACAGGCAGAGCCCTTGATGACCCTATTTATGTACAGTGCTTTCGCAGATTCATACTCAAAAATAAAATAAAATGTGCTTGGGTCACAGTTCAATCGTAGTCATAAGGTAGTGCATGGGGTCACTGTAAATTAGTGCGGAAGATTGTATATGACAGATTTTACAAAACAGGCTGTGCATAGTCATGCTGTACAAGCCGATTTCTGTCGAAAACTAGACGAGCAAGTTTTCTTTTAAACACACAAACTGTGTCAGCCGTCACCATCTCGCTTGGAAGCGAGTTCCACGCCCTGACAACCCGCTGGCTGAATGAAAATTTTCGCCGGTCTAAACGCGTGCGCTCATTCCCGACTTTGTATGCATGGCCGCGTAGTTGGTTTGTACGGGCGAACTCAAAGAAGTCCTCTCCTCTTAATGAGCAACCCTGGCCGCGAACAATCCGGAACGTCCAGAGTATACTGCAGTTTATTTGTCTATAAGAGAGAGGGAATAGGCCAAGCAAATTCAGCCTCTCCTGATAAGACAAATGCTTTAGACCGTCGACCATCTTTGTCGCTCTGCGTTGCACCTGTTCGAGTAAGTTGACATCCTTCCTCATCCATGGTGAAGCTGCTGGCATTCCATACTCTAGATGAGGTCTTACGAAGACACCAAAGAGTCTTTCGAAAAGTTCGGGAGGAAATATTTTAAATGCACGTCTGATCCAATGTAGAGTAATAGTTGCCTTCTGGACCATCTTTCTACAGTGTTCTGATGGCGATAGATTTGTGGTCGTCCATACACCCAGATCTCTGTGTCTTTCCACAGTTTCTAACCTCGTCCCGTAAACATAGTACTGGTGTTTGGGAGAGGCATTGCGGCCCGTGTTCAGGTGCAAAATCACGCATTTGGACACGTTAAACTTCAAAA